AGAGGGAGACCCGAGAGAGAGACCAGAGAGAGAGACCAGAGAGAGACTAGAGGGAGACCCGAGAGAGATTAGTAGAGAGACCAGAGAGAGAGAGAGAGAGAGACCAGAGAGAGAGACCAGAGGGAGACTAGAGAGAGACCAGAGAGAGACCAGGGAGTGTCTAGAGAGAGACCCAAGAGAGATTAGAGAGAGACCAGAGAGAGATTAGTGAGAGACCAGAGAGAGAGACCAGAGAGAGACCAGAGGGAGACTAGAGAGAGACCAGAGGGAGACTAGAGAGAGACCAGAGAGAGACCAGGGAGTGTCTAGAGAGAGACAAGAGAGAGACCCGAGAGAGATTAGAGAGAGACCAGAGAGACCAGAGAGAGACCAGAGAAAGTCTAGAGAGAGACAATAGAGAGATCATAGAAGAACTAGAGTGAGACCAGAGAGAGAGACCAGAGAGAGACCAGAGATAGACCAGAGAGAGACCAGAGAGAGACCAGAGAGAGGCCGGAGAGAGGGACTAGAGAGAGACCATAGATAGAAAGGAGAAAGAAAAACAACAGGACTTACAGAGGTACACACACTTTCCATGTAAGTCAATGGCCGCCAGAGAGAGTTGGAGCCAAACTTTGTCCATGAGCACTTCCCTCTCCGGCTACATTGAGCTAGCGGATTAGCATTGCCCATCTCTCTCCTGTCTATGTGTGCTCTTTAATGACAAAAACACGCTACTTTCACACAAAAAACGATCCACAAGCGAAAATAATTCCGTTCAATCTCAGAAGTCTGCATCATGGAGACAAAGCGGCGTTGTTAGCCGCTTGCGGGCAGGGCGGCTGAAGTATTCGGAGTGACGGCTGTGATTGATGGTCTGCGCGGCTCCAGCTCCGACAAACACAGCTGCAGCATTAACATCTCCAGTCGATACTTTTCTCCTTCATTTAAACTCACCGCGGGGACTGTACTTTTCTATCGTCTCTCTGGGATAACGCACAAACACACACCAGACATCACCCCGTTCTGAAGCGACTCTCTTTGGTCACTTAAAGGGCACCTATTCTGCTAAACCCACAATGTTTGAGGTTTTACGCTTGATACAACAATGTTTCTTCTTCAACATGCGTGTTTTTCACAGAGGTCTCCCATCCCGGTGCTAACCAATGCCCTGCCCTGCTTAGCTTTCGGAGGTCTGGCAGGATCTGGCTTCACCTGCAGGGGGCGCCACATGCTATCACTAAAAACAAGTCTTGCATTTAGTTTTGGCAATTTATCAAGTGAAAGGAGGTTCTTTCACGTCACATGGCTGCGTTTGCAACTATTTCAACTCCTCCCTCTGGTGGTGGTTTAGGGGATTACAGGCAGAGGGATTTATTTTTGTTTCATCCTGTATTTTTCTATTTTTTAATAAAGCTCTCCAGGACATTTTTCTGTAAGATCCAGTTCTTGTTTCCCACAGACATAAACAATAATGCATAATAGTTTCTATTAAAGGAGCAGTATGTAAAAATGTTTATTTTTTAGGGCCCTTTAATGACGACAGATTAGGGCCCTTTAATGACGACAGATTAGGGCCCTTTAATGATGACAGATTAGGGCCCTTTAATGATGACAGATTAGGCCCTTTAATGATGACATATTAGGGCCCTTTAATGACGACAGATTAGGACCCTTTAATGATGACAGATGTGGCCCTTTAATTTTGACAGATTAGAGCCCTTTAATGATGACAGATTAGGGCCCTTTAGTGATGACAGATTAGGGCCCTTTAATGATGACAGATGAGGGCCCTTTAATGATGACAGATTAGGGCCCTTTAGTGATGACAGATATGGGCCCTTTAATGATGTCAGATTAGGGCCCTTTAGTGATGACAGATATGGGCCCTTTAATGATGACAGATGAGGGCCCTTTAATGATGACAGATTAGGGCCTTTTAGTGATGACAGATTAGGGCCCTTTAATGATGACAGATTAGAGCCCTTTAATGATGACAGATTAGGGCCCTTTAATGATGACAGATTAGGGCCCTTTAATGATGAATTGACACAAAAATCTCATTCTGACAATAACGATCAAAAGAAAGAAAAGATGCCAGTTTCCTACAGCAGTAAAATTAATCAATGTTTTAAAACGTCTCATAAATAATCAAATGTACTTAATCTCTGCCGTTCCTTCTGGTGGACCGGGTTTATCCCTGGTGCAGTGGTGCATGCTGGGAATGTCTTTAACGCTTCAACACGGAATAAAACTGTCGCAGAATTAGTGCTTTATTTGACAGGCAGCTGACAGTGTTTTGATTGGACACGTCAAAGCTCCCATGGCAACCACACGGCAACCACTCGGCAACCGCCTCACCCAATCAAAACACTGGACTGAGAGTGATTTTAAAAAAAGATACATATATAAATACACACACAGATACACGTACACACACACACACACACACGCACACATCCACACCAACAGACGCCCACACAAACACGTTCACACACACACGTACACACACACACGTTCACACACACACGTTCACACGCACAACACACACACATTGGAAATAGAAACACATGCATATATAAATACACACATACGTACACACACACACGTACACACACACACGTTCACACACACACGTTCACACGCACAACACACACACATAGGAAATAGAAACACATGCATATATAAATACACACACACGTACACAGACACACGTACACACACACACAACACACACACATAGGAAATAGAAACACATGCATATATAAATACACACACACGTACACACACTCACGTTCACACGCACAACACACACACATAGGAAATAGAAACACATGCATATATAAATACACACACACGTACACACACACACACACACGTTTCACACACACACGTACACACTGGCACATGCACACACACACACACACACTGGCACACACACACACACACACACCGGCACACACACACACACACACACAACAACAAACAGACAAAACCCATTCTTACATCACCTCTGACCTCGTCTCCATC